GTTGGTGTTGGTTCGTGACGAAATCTACCTCAAAATGCATTTGCTGGAGGCATCAAAATTTCGCCACTCAGAAGAGCAATAAAATAATGTCCAGCAATATCACAGATTCTTTGCTGACTATAATCCGGAAAGTAACCAAGCGTGGTATAGTTTGTGCTATTTTGAGGATCCTACTTCTATCGGCTACCAAACAACTTCCGAATGGCGTTTTATAGAAATTCGGAAGTCTGTTATGCAACCACTCACGTCCAAAATCTACAGGAGATGTTTCACTTCATGGTGTATCTCTCTGAGTATATTGTCAATTAGGAAAACAACTAGTGGAGATCGATCGTCTTCACACCATTGTGTGAATTTCACTACTGCCATTTTTTTATTCCTTTTACGTTCCCAGTGGAACATAGGGCTTCAAGCCTCCAACTTGAATTTTCCGTAGCGGTGTTCATTTTTACAGGATGGGGTTGCTAGCCTCATGCCCAACCTTTCCTCTTTACCAGTCTTATTACTGGCTTACCGAGGTAAAGGAGTGCGTCGGCCGGGAATCGAACCCCGGACAACATTCATGGTTGGCGAGCACTCTACCGCTGTGCCACCGACTGCCATAGTCACTTATTACTTCACGTCTAAGAACTACGACAACTTTTCCAGATACAGTCACCTTTTGGGAGGTGTACTTAGATAACATGCTAAAAAATTTCGATGGCAGTGGCAGACATGTTGAAAGTGGCTGTTATTGCTGTTTTCTGATTGTTCGAACTCCTACAAATATAGTTTGCCTAATCATTGCGAGATCAAGGCCACCCTCATCATCTCGTGTCAGTGTTTGCTTGACTGCAGAATCACAGATTTGAAATTCTAAAATTGCCTCTGGAACAAAAATGTCAGTGATGCTTTTTATTTGTTGACAAATGAGGTTGCGGCATTCAGTTAAAATATACTACTGTCAAATGTCTCTGCACTTTCAAGAGCCTGGTAAGTTTTCTCGGTTTCGTTACCTACTGTGGGTCACCAGTAGGATCAGAGGCATCAGTGCAGGGAACAAAGTGATCGTATCTGTGTAACACTGATAAATACTCATTCATGGAGGGATTCACAACTCCAGCATATGAGTACACCTCCCAAGTATCTCTTTCGACTCATTAGACTGATAGTGTAGCATTATATTGGTGAATGGACACTCGTTTGAAATAGTCTTTTCAAATCGAAGATTTGGAGAGAAGTAGAAAAGTTGATCTAACTGGAAATTCTTCAAATGACCATATAAATAACGATATTACATAATGTTCTTTCGACCATTTCTTCATGGGTATATGGAATACACGAATCACGTGTCGAAAGTGACTACTAAGTTTAAGTCTCAACCACTCAAAAGTCCTACTCAATATGGAAGTCTTCATCCTTATCTGTGTTACCAAACGAAGTTTTAGGAGAAACCATGCGAAGATCACTGGTTTGTTGCGTCGGTGGCACAGTGATTAGGACTTCGCCGACCATGCACATGATCCGAGTTCGATCCCCTGCCGGCGCACACCCGATATCTATGGTCGGCCTGTAAATTTGGGCTACCGATATCCATGCTGAAAATTCCATACTTGTACTGAAAATACGGTGTGGAATGAAACTGTAATCGAAATAAAATAAAAAACAAGTGAGAGGATGTATATGAATACAGCCCTAACACTCTTTACACTCATTCCGTACGGTTCTTCAGCTACATAAATCCACTAAACAGGCTAATATTGACACTCTATATCGAATATCCCTCGGATGTAGACATTTGACTTCAGAGAACTACCATATTGCACAAGGCAGTATATTAGTATAGCCGCGATTGATATTCTCTCTGAAGTTTATTTGTAAGGTTTCAAAATCCATACTGCTTCGACACAGTAAACTGCACAATCAGACAACTAATATGTAGATATTTAACATCCAGTGTTGTTGTGGATTACTTTGAGTCCGAAGTTCTTGCAGCTCTATATTTAGGTACTAACCAACTCACAAATCTGTGAAACACAAATTTAGAGTCATTCTCCGGCAAAAAGATATGCCAACAGAGATCTTAGAGGAAACATTTTGTCCAAATTCCCATACATAATGATGGATGAATAAGGCTAATTCTAAGTACGAATTTAGAAAGCATTGAAGTTTCACCACTTATGCCTGAATATGCACATTGCTTGATATCTCGATGTGAGATTTCATGACTTTCTTTGCAGGAGAAAATGACAAAATGTCCGACATGTCTGAAGAAAGGATTATTTTTTAGTTGAGAACTATTCCTAGACAGTCAACCTAGTTGTTTATAAATAGCGGAGGACGGGAAGCAGGCAAATTTAAACTTGTGTTCACTGTTTTCTTCCTCCTTCTCTCCAACATCATTGTTTCTAACTCTCTAATTTACCCAAACGTTTGGATATGAAGTTTAATAACTGAAGTCCATGGACAGCTTTTTTGGGTCCTATTTTAGTGCATGTACAGTAATAATATTGCAGCGGCAACTGTACTCAAACATGAAATTTACGTGGCTGTAGTAGCCTTTACCAACATACCTAATTAGGCAGTGCACAGGATGGACTTAATATAATTTAGGTTCCATACCAAGGAGCAAATGCGGCTCGAATTCCCACTACCAAATTAGGCGCCCTAGCTACAAATAGGAAGTGATCCGCTTTGATATTACTACCTGAAACATCAGTCTAGACTTCAAACAGTTTGGAATGTCAGATGGGCGGTTCTGGCGGGATCAACTGGAAGATCGATTGAAATATTTTTAGGGGATCAGAAAAGTTCATCGATTCAACTGGATCACAGCCACTTCACTTTCACCAATCAATTCGGTTACGTGTTCTGATTGGATCAGACGACAAACTATTGGGTTTCAAGAAATAAGAGCATGGCTGTCTCGCCGTGGTGTGATTGTATATCTCAGTACTGTCTGCATACCACCGTTGATAAATACACACTTGGATGGCTGTAAGGGTTATATTTGCCCTACACTACTTGCGGAGCTATTAAGAGAAGCCCAGCCACCAAGTTAGGTGGAACAGGCTGTGGAATAAACAAGTGGTGTGACCAAAGCACAGGTTTAGTAGGACAGATAACCACACAACAGTCGTGAGCGTTATTTCTGTTTAAAGGTGACCGGAGACGATCTCTAAGTTTTACAAACGGCGTAGCTAACTGGTTTCCTAGATATTTCAGAAGAATGAACAACTGTCGTCGCCCTGGTGACACTCGTACTTGACTTTGTATACTGTTCCTAAATCCCTTCCATCACATGTGTCACGTACCCGAAAAGCGACTGGTTAATAGCGACTTACATCTGCACATTTATGTGCGATTTTCGGCAGCAGACTCAGTTCAGCTGTGTTTCGATAATCGAACTCATCAAAGAGATCTTATGAAATTTCATAAAGCTTAAATGGATTTCTGAATAAGGCTGAAGAATACTTTGGAAAACCCAAGATACACCTCAGGAATTTGGCGTTTATCCACTGCCTCTGGCTGATCACTTTTTCCTCTGTTTAGCAGCTAATTTCGCTTTGTCATTAACTGTTTTGTTTATTTACAAAAATAAAGCCCGTATCAAGACCGACCAGGATAAGAAGGAGGAAGGCAAGTTTTCAGGAGGCTAAATTTCCTAATGAGTGCCAAAAGTGTTAGGTGGCAATTTCAAAGGAGCGGAAATAAAGTTCGTAGGTTTATGAATGTATAACAGTTACTCAGGGTAATCCAAAACAGAGTAAAACTGGGCTAGTCCGTTTCAAGAGTTTGCGTAACTTAACTACTGAAGAAACCATTTCATCATTGGTTATCTTTTGAGTCGTACAACCTTATGCTTAGCTTCTTGCTTATACTAAAGGAATCAACGAAAATATGGAGACTGCCTGCAGGGAATATACCAAACCCAAATCATCTGGATTGCATGTAACATCAGTGTTTCGATACTCTTTCCGGGGACGCCTGAAACAGAACCTAATATGCCACCTGACTTGAAGGAAGTCAAAAGGTATTACATGGCAGATTATTGACGAAAAATGAATACGTCATTCATCAATACTATTGACACTCAGCAAATATTTGGTTGTAGTATGCTGGTGACTGCTAGTTTTTGTGTGCACAAAGATGTGAGTCGGGGTCGAGCACAAACGCCGCGAAATAAGCATTAGACCAAGTAGCAAGAGACTATCAGGCGGGAACAATTGCTGAAGGTGAAGTGTACATTTCACCGCATCACACTTATTCAACAGTCGAAATAGTTCAATGATGCAGCGTATTCAGGGAAAACAATGAAGCATAAAAGTTTTCAATAATCACCAACACTTACAGTATTGACGCGGAACACGTGGTTTAAAGCATCAAAGTGATATATTCTTTGAAGAACTTCACTCCCCGTTCTGTCTTTTTCTTGTAGAGCAAGATTTATGTTTTCAAAATGATTCTTGCTGAGGGATTCGACGACTTTCCTGCCCCATAATTTTTCACCTGTTAGAAACTATAGGTTCTGAAGCAAAGTATTGATTGCTTACCAGTATAAGTGGTTGCTGTGGTGATCCATTCCACTCTCGAACTTTCTGTAGAATGAAAGTGGTACTTGGTTTCAGTTCAGGATAACACTCATCGTTATTCGGGTCAAAGAACTAAATTTTCCATGTTAAGCCTCATATAGACTTGAAGATTACAGTTAAATCACAATTATAGTTTTCAAGACAGAATCGTTTAACATTAGGTTCCACTATATTCCTCATAACAAGCCTCTCACATTCGAATTCGGGAAAGTTTGATACAAGGACGATCTTGACTTCGGTTACCATGATCGCACACTGAAATATGCGCCAACATATATACATAAGGTCATTATTCACAAAAAGTCATGAAATTGAGTACAAAGAAATAAGTGATATTTTAGTTACTTTTTTCAAATAAAATGTTTTGGTAAAATGTGATTTCATTCAATTTTTTCTTTGAACTTTTCGATGTTGTTTTACACAGTTAGTGTTTTACGCGGTCTTAAAAAATTTGTCAGCTGTAGCGCGTTTTGTTCGTGGTCCGTTTGACATTTTTTCTGTTGGTCAGTTGTCTGTTGTCAGTGTTATTTTAATGTAATCGATTCTTTATCGTTCATTTTATCTATGTTTGGTGACACTGGTTTTTCATGTTATCATCAATAGAGTGGGTTCACAGGATAACCAACTTAAGTTCCTTTGTTTCGTGAAGTGGAGTAAGAATGTTTTTGAAAGTTTCTATTTTTTTCAAATGGCACGCTTTTGGTTAGGCTTGTATGAAGTGGGTAGTTTTCTGTGCCTTGTGGACTGAGATCAACCCCAGAGATGCCGAAATTTGCGGACGTAAACTGAATCTAAAGTGACAGTGTGTTAACACCCGGTACATCTCTCATAATCATTGTATTAAATCATGACTTGGTTAATCTTTCCTACATCTGACTTTGTATGTGAGGTCACGTCATGAAAACTGTTATTGTATATCTGTTGTCCCTGAAAACTAATTTTTGTTGTCGAACAAAATGCGTATGGAATTTAGATTCTCTCAGAGTGGTCAACGACTGGAACTCTTTACCTGATTTAGTAGTAACAGCTCCACCGGTGAACACTTTCAAAGAGAAACTAGATCTCTGCAGAGATATATATCGCAAAGGTTAACTTAGGTGACAGCCTTCTATCCTTATAATCTGAATCTTGTGTAAGTCTGAATCTAAGGGAATTGTGCTCATCGCTTATCTTGTTCACAAATTTTCCTGGATTTAATGGTCTTCTGGCTGTTTACATTGACGTAATACCTCTCCATCCTTGAGTGTGTTTATCATGCAGCAATTCCTTCAGTCACATTTTATGACATGCATGAAAGTTTAATAGTCAGTAATAATGAGGTTAAGTGTTGTGTTAGTTAGTGGTCATGAGTACTCACCAATTGATTTGGTTTGGAAGCGCGTTGTGCATAGCGAGCAGCCGCCAGTACCGGCGAGCAGTGGTGTCTGATGTAGAGTCAGATAGGCAAAGGGTGAAAGTTAGCTCAAACAATTAGTCACTAACCCTTGTTCTGAGCTATATAGGTAGTGATGGACGCTTTTTAGCTGCTGTGATCTAGATGCTGAAGTCCTTTCGTGATTTCAAGGTCTTGCACAGTGGTGCACATGTATTCACTTGGTATCATATAGTTATTTTCTCCCATACCTTCTTTCTAGTTTCATTATGTTTCTCTTCTGTGCTTCCTTTCACTTTGGTAACGCAAACTTATGTACTTGTGTGTGGAGTTCTGCGTCGATTTTTTAGTCAATAAGCTTTGACTGAAATTGGTGCTGAGTTATCGCAGAATCAGTAACTCTTCTTTCCTTGGATGTTTAGTCTATTTCCCTCGGATTAATGCCGTTTTATTTATGTCACCATCTTAAATCTCTGGTTCTTTTCAGCCGCGATTTTTATTCATATGTTGAGGCTATATACATGTGCAGTGTCTAAGCACTTACCTCACTGGGAGTTAAGTATTATTTATTCAGACAACAGGCGTCACTAGCCAGAGCTCTTGCATCTCAAGCTATGAAAGTATGTTCTGTTTTGGAGATACATGCGAAAATCCAATGTGGTTATTCACCTAATCCCATCTGGCAAACTTGGTGGATCTACAGAATTCACCTTGGGTGATTAGGGGATTCCTCGGCTGATTTTCTTGGGTTTGTTGATGTAGGGATAACATTAAGCGCTGGGGCAGAAAAATCCCTAAGCTATCTAGTTTACTGCTGAAGGTGAAAACGCTCAAATACTGTCATTTTGGCAAGTCCTTTCAATGCTCAATTATGGGAGCTGTCTGTCAAAAAGGCATATTGCCGGCATATGTGGTCTTATGCTGACGAACCGACAACGGTAATCGTCCTTTACAAGTCTATTCAGACAATCATAAGTAACTGCTCTTGGCTATCGATCAAAGGGCGTGTGTACTGCTCAGCGCAGCAGTTCGCTCCGTCCTCCTTTATGGCTGTGAGACATGGCCATTGAAAGTGGAAGATACGAGAAGGCTAGCTATCTTTGATCATAGGTGTCTGCGTTCTATCTCCCGTGTGAAGTGGTATAATAGGGTGAGCAATGTTGGTCGAGTGCTAGGTAAGGATGGGAAATCAGTCGACGAGGTTGTGAAGTTACACCGATTGAGATGGTTAGGACATGTGTTGTGCGCATGCCTAGCCATCGCCTTCCTCGACAATGGGCAATGTTAGCTGACATAGGGTCAGGTTGGAAAAGAGCCAGTGGTGTTCAAACCAAAACATGCCATCAGTCAGTGAAATTCACAAGTTATTTTAAGCCATATAGGAAGGTGTAGACTTCTTGACTGGTTGGGGACCTCTGGTAAAAACCAATGGTGACTGGAGACAAATGGTGATATGGCTCAAAATAGTTCTCAATGGCTGGCTCAGATGCATCCACTTTTTGTGACTTATAATACCCAATAAAACTATATTGTTCTTCGATATTACTATTCTTTTTGCCTCATATCTCAGTTTATTGTCACTATTTTGCATTTCTTTTAACTTTCTTCTCTTGCTTTGTGTGCTAAGGGAAGTGTGGCGACTCGAACTGCTGTACATCTGTGCAAAGTTCTATGTTGAAACTGGTGAGTCAGTCAGTCAACACCAAGGTCGAACGTAAATAAAGACATTGTCTTCTGGAACGCTTGTGTACACTCCGACGCAGTAGTGCCTGCACGTGTGTGTCTATGACTGAACAGACATTGGAAACAGACAAACAGAAACAATAAACCTATACGCCCTCAACTTTATGAGAGCACCGTCTTTATGTAGGGAAGAAATAACTAAACGTGTTTGAGATTGACAGCAAGATTCATCCTGAGGAAGCCTAAAGTAACAAACAATCAGAAAGTGATAAAGACTGTCGATTACCTTAAACTAAGGGTTAGTGAACACCACTAAACGCTTTTTGATTCATCCTAATTGATAGGCATAAGAAGACTGATTCTGGTGAGGAGAGAAAGCTGTTCAAACCCAAGCTGACTAAATGTCTTCTCAACTTCTGTGAACAGTGGTTGGCGACAAAAGCAGTAGGCATCAGACAAATATTTATATTCATTAGGGAAACGGGTTGTAAAAAACATTGTAAGCGGAACGATCTCCGAGAAGAACGGTACTTCAGTTTCTTCTCAGGCCAAGTGACTGGCTTGTCGGAGGGGAACAATTTGAGTGACAGTTTAACCGACCTACAGCCACGCCAAATTTGCCCAACACCTATCCGATTGGAATGTTGACATTGTTCCTCCAAATGTAACTAAGGTAGCAAATGTCGCCTCTGATCTGAAGCAAGGCGAAGCTGCAGGACTTGATGGGATGGCTCCAGAGTTGTCTAAAGATGGTGATGGTGAACTATTGTTTGGGTTAACTAAGATATTAGGTGATGTTTGGAAATCAAAGGCGGTACCTGTGGACTGTTGTAAATCACTGACTATCCCAGTTGCTAAGCAGAGGTAAATCTTCCTGTGATAATCATGGAGGGACTAGCTTGACTAACAGTATCTAAAATTCTAGGTTCAACAGTCAGGCTTAGACTAAGCGATGATCTGGAGAAGCAAACCAATCAGGCTTTAGGCCAAGACGAGGGTGTATTGACTTTATCTCCACCTTTGGACAGATTCTAGAAATTAGTCATCCATACGGGCATCTAGCGTTGTCTGGGGGGGACACTTTCTCCACTGTTTAATTTCATAATAGATTTACTAGTGGATATGACCCTAATTTGCTTTAGCAACTTAGGGACGGACTTGTTACCAGGGTACAGTCTCGTCTATTTAGGGTATGTCCATGATATTGTCCTTTCGTATATAGACTGACGAAATGTAGTATTCTGAACACCTTAGACTGAAGTCTTCGATTGTTTGGCATGTGAGCTGCCCTCTGTCAAATATAAGGTGATGCTTCAGGACTGGTCTGAACCTGCTTTTTGTTTAAAGATAGGGAGTGAAGTCGTTGAACGTGTTGAGCACTTCATCTATTTGAAAAATTGCATAAACCAGAATAAACTGACTGCTGATAAAATCTCAGTATGGATAGAAAAGATTAGTGTGGCATTTGCCAACTTACGTCATCTCTGGCATAAACGGTTATCGACCGACGGCGTGTGTACTGCATAGCAGTTCGTTGTTCTTATGGTTTTGAGACCGTTATTGAAATTCATGCTGAGATGAGGTGTAGCGTGTTAGGTAAGAAGGAAAAATTAATCGACAAGGTTCTGACTCTGAATCGATTGAGTTAGCGGAGATATGACCTGCTGTTTAGAGTCAGTATTCGTTTTGAATTCTGAAGATTTTGATGACTGCCAATGAAAGCTTGCTTGGTCCTATGGGATCTAATTCGCCCAGATACAACTGATCCAGAGGATTCGATTGAGTGATCACCATTTAATGTTTGTTGTGCTCATTTCTATAATTAAATCACTGTTTCTTGAAATATTCACCACTATTTTTATGCAAATATATGCGAGAATGCGAAGCTTAAACATTTTGTGTGAAATTAGCCTTTTGTCATTTCCATCAACTGCAATTGCAATACACTAATCTTTTTGCATAGTTTATAATAATCCTTTAGTTCTTAACTATTTCATTCCTACTTACCCTTTTAGCTTATGAAGGAGATAAATGCTCATGTTGATGGTGAATCATCCTTGATTTCAGAGAATAAGCAACATGGCGACAATGGTATCGTATCACAGGAGTCATCTATAGCTCTGACTATTTTACATAATCGTACCAAGTATAATCTAACTTTCTCACCATCTGCAACCATTGCTGAAGTTAAAAAGACCTTGGAACCTTTAACACATGTTCCTGTTGATATGCAAAAACTCATCTTCCGTGGAATGTTATCAGATACTGCCAAACTTGAAGAGTTATCTCTACCTACTAAAGATGCTAAATTAATGCTTATTGGTACAAAACCTTCTGAAGCAGAGCAAATTCGCTTATCTGAAGCAAATAATCATGTCCAAGGGGATGATATGTCGGATGAAGGTCGATCAGATGTAGCAGCAGACTGGTCTGAACAAAATGAACATAAACAAGTTTTAGAACGCTATGGAAAACCAGAAAATGCAATGATCGGAATACTGAATACAGAAGAAATTTTAGATCCTAATGAATGTTTAGTTGGTCTTTGTGATAAACGTGGACAAGCATTACGGCTAAGAATTAAGCCAGACAGTGGAGAGTTATGGTTGGCAACAAAAGATGTAACTCATAAATTTCCACTAGCTACTATTCACGATGTAATTAGTCAACCTATTAAAGGTCATCCTGAATATCATATAATGGCTTTCCAACTTGGTCCCACTCCGAAATCCCGGTATTTTGTGTACTGGTTGCCTTCTCAGTATGTGGAGTCTATTAAAACCATGGTATTACAGTATAAAATAATTAATTCTTTGAGTAATGCAACAGGCACAAATAAATCACTTTAAATTTGCATTTTTAATTGATTCTCTGTAATTAATTAATTAATCATTTTCCAGATTTCAAAGATTAAGCCAAGTTATCAATTGTCCAAAATCTTCTCAAAATGCATATTCTCTCATTTTTTTCTTTCCTTTTAAAAAAATTATCAGCCTCTAGATTCACTTATTTCCCTTATCTTAATGAGGCTTTATTTTTCATGCAATACAGAATTTCACTTTTGGTTTACCCCTTTTACTGTTGACAACATAGCAGTGTACTTATGTGAATAAAGTCAATAAAATTATGTACAATGTGTTTAAAGATTTCTTCACTCCTGACAGAATTCAGTTGTATGCGCCAAACAAAGGACTGGGTGCATGACATTAATTATGCTACACCTAATGCGCAACTTATTTTCAAGTAGTCCTATGCACTTGTAAATAGATCGTCTATAGGTCCTCTTTTAGCAGTTTTCTCGAAATGAATATGTTTATAGCAGAAGATTTACCCCCCTCGCCCTCCCCCCATTTTATTCAGTGCATGAATTTGTTATTTTTCCTGTTGTGTTTGGAAGCATCTGGTATTTGGCTCTTCAGTGCATATTTAAAATAAGGAAGTAGTGATTAAAACACTTTGAGTAATTCAACCTACTGGTAGTTGTTCTGAATTTTTCAACTATCCAGTTATAGGCTGATTGCAAATTTCATATCTACTGTGCAGCTGTCAAACCTAACTTACAGGTTGAAGTTGTAGATGCTTAAGCCTGCCTCTAGGTAGGCCTTGAACGTCAGCACTAACTAAACTTTCTTTCCTCGGTCTATGTACTGATGAATAAAGTTCAGGTAAAAGGCTTATGCACTGTTGTGTGCCTTGAAATGAATTATATTTATATAGCAAGTGAAAAACCACAAATGAATACGTAGTAATATCGTACTACTTATCTGTCGACAGGCTAGGGTAGCAAGCTCGAGGAGTGTGCCTAATGATAACACAATGAGGGAGCGAGCCATGTGCAAGCAGGAAAAAGAAAGATGGCGTAGCGCCATAGTATATGTATGCGTTAAAAACAAAAGTTTAAACATTCAAGATGCACTACAAAGTGAAACAGCACAGTTGTTCAATTACTGTGTACCATAAACGGGATGATATTATTCCACCATATAAATGACATGAGAGATCCTATTATGTTGCTTTCATAGAAGAAATATCTGAAGCCTGTGTAATTAAATGTGATTTGACTCATGTATATATTACAGTTAGATTCCAAATGTACTAAGGATTTAGTGTATAGCGTGTCTGCATAGCTCTGCTCGTTTAGCTTATTTTTACTCTCCGCTTACTGCTGAGTAATTCACTTTCAAGACATAGTTTTTTATCAGGTGTTGATTTTCGGGGATTTAACTGGTTAGAGAATTGATCACGAGCTGATGGATATCAGATAGAGAACCATTAGAAAACCAGCAGGGAGTAATGGACATCTGTTTCATCCTAGACTGGGGCTCTTCACCAGTGCGCACTTTTTCTTCACAAAGTAAACCAATGTTTCCCTGAGTTAAAACCCCCTGATATCAGTTTTATTAATTTATTATGTTATTTAAAGCTTGTAATGCGTGTGTACAAGTAAAATGATTACTAATGTGAAGGTAGTAAGCACAAGTCGTATTTTCTGTTGTGAATAAATGTTGATACAATGAGACGAGTGACGCACATATTCAATGTACAATTTGTGTCTCAATGAAGTTAAGATTATGTGCGTAGTTCGTTAGGTGTTAGATAGGCTATGAATTTAAAATAATTAATTAATTACGTGATCGTCATAAAAAGTTTCGAAAGTCAATTATTCCAACTACGTATTTGGTGTGTGTGTGTCTAGCAACTACGTTAAACACGAATGTTTGCATGTTGCATATACCTGGAGGAAATTTGTTGCATGAGCAATAAAGTTTCGACAATTCATGATAGCTTTAAGTGAGTTTTCAGTCACGCTTCCATACTTATATCGAAAAAATTTATCCTTATTTAATTACAGTAGTCGTGCTACTTGGGGAATGTTTCATCTCCTTTGTTGGATGGTAGTCAGGTGTCATGTAACTTACAACACTTTATTCACAGTTGGAGTTGTTAATATCTATGCCCTTTGCTTATATCATTTATTACACTAAGAATTATTAGTATATAAGGCATTAATATTTTAAGTAGAATGTTATTATTATTATTGCTTCGGGCAACTGGTGGGACATAAGGCTTCAGCGGCACATCTCCAATTCAACCTATTATCTGCAGTCATTTTTAGCTGGCCCCACGACCGCCCATAAGCTTTCATCTCCTCCATGTCACCCTCAAACGCCCAACTTGTCGTTTCCTACCTGGATTCCACTCGAGCTATGGCCTGGCACACGGTGTCACTCAACAACGGTCCCCATCAGCGTGTTTTCAATCCATCCCCATTTTCTTAAGCATATTTTCTGGGTAATAGGTTCTTTGTTGTTTCGTTGCACTTCAGGGTTCCTTGTTGCTAATCCTATCTGGCTATCTAATATTCAGTATGAAACCAGTGATCTGGGAATCAGAGGAAGTCCCGTCGGGTTGGTGTAAGTCATTGATTATCCCCATATACAAGAAGGGAGACAAGTCTTCCTGTGATAATCACAGGGGATGAGCTTGACTAATATGGTATCTAAAGTTCTAGGCTCAATAATCATGCGTAGACTAAGCGGTCCACGGGAGGAACTAACACGAGAGAACCAGGCAGGCTTTAGACCAGGAAGAGGGAGTATTGATCATATCTTCACAAATTCTGGAACATAGGCATACTTACCGGAGTTCAACAATCGTTATATTTCTTGACTGAAAGGCGGCATTCGATTCTGTTGACCGAGAGGTACTATGGCGATCCTTGGCTTTAAAGGGAATGCCGAGAAAATACATTGCACTGATCAAGGCACTCTACTCGAACTCATGCAGCCAGCCAGGTGAGAGCTTACGGCGAGTTGTCATCTGACGTGGTGACAACTAGTGGTGTCCGTCAGGGATGCCCACTATCCCCATTTCTATTCAATTTCATCATAGATGTACTAATGGATTTAACCCTAAGTGACTTCAGCGACTCAGGGATTGAGTTGTTACCAGGGAATAATCTCGTCGACTTAGAATATGCAGATGATATAGCCCTTATAGGTGAAAACGCTGACATAATGCAGAGTCTTCTGAACACCTTGAGCTGCAATCTACGAATGTTTGGCATGCGATTCGCTCCCACCAAATGTAAGATGATGTTACAGGACTGGATTACACCGACTCCTAGCTTAGAAATAGAGAGTGAAGTGGTAGAGCACGTTGACCGCTTCACTTATTTGGGAAGTTGCATCAGCCCCAACGGGTTGATCGCTGACGAAATCTCAGCACGAATACAGAGGGCTAGTTTCGCATATGCCAGTTTACGCCGTCTCTGGCTGAGAATATCATCATTTGTTTGTAACCTTAATCTTCATTGTGTGAACAAATATTAAATATCTACTTGAGGTGCTTGATATATTATAATTGGATGTCCTGAATTCTGCAGCTTCAAATTAGCCATACTGTGCAGAGTGATTCATTCTCCATCTTCTGTAGAGAACTGGAGTTCTATTAGTCTTCGTTTAGATCAATATACTTTTTTATTCCTTTACGTTCCCAGTGGAACATGGGCTTCAAGCTAGAGGCTTGAAGTTCCGGTAGCAGTGGTGTTTATTTTTACGGGATAGGGCTGCCAGCCTCATGCCCAACCTTCCCTCTTTGCGAGGTAAAGAAGTGCGTTGGTCGGGGATCGAACCCCGAACCACATGCATGGTCGGCGAGCATTCTACCGCTGTGCCACCGACGCACAATAGATTACTATAAATCTTTGTATTTCCCATATTAGTTATATAGGTGTTCATCGTTTTTCCCCTGAAACTTTCCTTTTGTGTTCTTGAGAAATATAACGATTGGGAATAAGTGATATGCCTGAAATGAGTTCTAAGGTTGTAGTATCCGCTATTTTTGGGGCAATACTAATTCATAGGAATTTCACCTAGAGATTTCATGTGTTGATAGTAGTTGGTGATTTGGTTCCATTTGTGGTCTGATTTACCGAATTCGAATCTGGTGTCATTCATTGATATAAGAATAAAACTTGTGCACTGTGGTAGAGTATAATTCCATTATGGGTAAAATTTGTTTTGATAAAGTCTCACAGTGTTATACAGTAATATTTACTGATGACCATCTGTCGAGCACAATTTATTGCTCATAATCATATCAAGGTACTCATACAACTTTCTAACTTCGTTTGTGAAACTAGTAATGATAACATAAATAAGAGAGAATATAAGTCATCCACTGTTATACCATATAAGAAGGGGACATCTGAGACCCTACGTAGGATTCTCAATAAAGCAGGAATTAGAGTGGCATTTAAACCTACAAACTCACTCAGGGACAAGCTCTGTAGGTTAAAGGACCCGGTGGATCCAATTAGACAAAATAATATAATATACAAAATACCCTGCAGTGACTGTGAGTTAAGTCAACTACATAGGTCAAACTAGTAGGTCAGGGGTAGTCAGATTGTCGGAACATAAGAATGTAGCTAAGGCAAGAATGGTTGACCCCGAGAAGATAAGTAATTTAGAAAAAAGCTCAGCAATCGCACTGCATGCATTAACAGAACAACCATACAATAGGATGGGAGAGGGTTAAAATTCTAAAAAGTAATCTAGGTAGGTGGAGAGAGAGGTTGATTACTGAATCCTTGTTCATTGAATCTAAACCCAACACATGCAATAGGAATGACTCATCACTACTAATCAAGTCAAGCTATGAAAAATAATGGAATTATATAAACGAAGTTAGAAAGTTGTGTGAGTAGTGTCTTGATATGATCGTGGGCAGCAATAAATTGCGCTCAAAACGTTGTCATCAGTGAACATTACTGCATAACACTGTGAGACTGTAGTCTTCACATTTTTATCAATCTCCGATACCGTAGAAGTTTCAGTTGTAAAAGTAGTGCTCATGAATAATGCAAGGAATTTCTGAGCAAGGTGGTCGAATAAAAATCATCCACCCAGTATTTACATTGTATAAGTTGAGAGTGATGTTTGAAACCAAATGTTACATAAAGCCTTTTAGCGTTATTTTCACCTAGTTTGAAGTGAATGTTGCTTTTACCATGGACTGACATATTACAGAGTCTCTAATTCCTAAACTTCTCAGTTCTTGATTTTGTGAGGATTTTATTGGTTTCTAAGTGGATTTCATCATCAAAGGACAACAGTTAGAAAATAAAAGAACAC